CGTGGGTGGAATCATGAAAATGGGGCTAGAGTGATAGCAGGTAGGGCGTCTGCCTAGAAACTGCACTTGAAGGAGGTTGTGGGAAAGAACGTGGAGATAAGAGGACTTAGCATCCCTCATCTTGTGGGAAAGTCTTCTCTTTCTTGCAAAGGTTAATTTCCCTCTTCTTAACCCAGGGTTGTGGGTTGTGGGAAAGGACGTCCTCCATCCCATATAGTCCCCGAGCACCTCCAGGAGTAGTTCCTGAGTGCTTGAGCCAGGAGTAACCCCTGTGCAAAGCCGAGTGTGACCCAAAAAAGAAAAAAAAAGTCATGAAAATGAAAGGCCTGCCAGGCAGATTTCACCCCAGCTCCGTGGGCTGGCTGGTCGAGGGTGTTCTGGAATCCCAGCTGAAGGACTGGGAGGTGCTGGCCTCAGGACTCAGCACGCAGGGGGAGGAGGGCTCATGGAAGGAAACTAGAGACTCGGTTATGGGGAGCCTAGAAACTGCACTTGAAGGAGGCTGAGTTGCCCTCCATCCCCCAAACAGTGCCAGTGTTCCCAGTGGACACAGGATCTGGGTGAGGTGGTGGGGAGGGAGACACCACCAGGAGGGGTTCTGTGTACAATGCCGGCTGTGAGGTTCCGGGCCTTGGACAGGAGGGCTAAATGGGTCTTTTCAAGAAGGATGCAGGAACCGCTGTTTGCGGCAGTGGCTAGTGGGTGAAGGCCGCTTGCCTCTCGGCAAGTGGGTCAGAGCTGTGAGCGCGGGGTTCAGTCTTGTTTTCTCTGCAGCTGCGAGACCTGTTCAGCACTCAATCTGTGGTGGTGGTGGTGGTTGGGGGGCTTGGGCTCAGCCATGACGGGGCCAGTGGAGGTGTTGTGAGAAATGCTGGCTTTGGAAGGAAGTGGGAATGTGGGGGACATTCCAGGTAGAGCACTACAGGAGCAATAAAGATGAGCAGCTCAACAGACCCGTGAGGTGGGGGGGGGGGGTGGAGGGGTGCTAGAAATAGGCCCGTCTGCACAGTGTGACACTGACCGCGGCTGGTGTTAAGGCAAAGTGTTTGCAAAGTGCCGTGAGGCAGCACCATCGGGAGAGGCTTGCTGGGAGGTGGCATGTTGATGATGGGAGAGGTGGAGGAGGTCAGAGGGCACGACACAGGCAGGCCATGTTTGGGCATCTCAACTGTCCAGCCCCGCTCAGAGGCAGCTCTGGGTTAGTGGGGAGCATTGACCAGAGTGCCCCGGAGGACAGGCTTTCGTCTGGGAAATACCCACAGCCCAAGGGATCTTGGGTCTGTCCTTGCCTGGCAGCCAATGGGCTCAGAAACCCCAGGTGCCCTCCAGAGGGCCTCATGAGTCAGCGTGACATTCTGCAGGCAGGAGGAGGAAGCAGCATTTGGCTTGCAGCTCTGCCCACCTGGGCCTGACTGAGCATCTAGGACTGCAAGCTTCCAGGCTCTGAAAGTGCCCAGTGTCCCAAACAGAGCACAGCAGGGATGCGCTGGAGAGAAACTTCCCATCAGAAAACCACCAAACTGCTTTAAGACTATGGGACCTTCAGGGAAAACAGGGATCGGGAGAGGGGAGCAGATGAAGTCATTTCATAATATTTATTTGCATATATTAGAGGAGACATTCCAGACACAGTCAGCAGGGCCCACAGAAGACTACTGTGCCTCGTGTCTGCCCTGTATCCCTTAGACACCCATGGGCAAACATCGCAAAGCCAGACATGGGTATACTTCAGACTATGTAAACCTAACATCTAATGCCTAGCGTGTGAGAGGCCGAGAGCTTGATCACTGGCACCGCAGAGTTCTCCGGCACTTTCTCCACCAGACCAGCATTGCCAGAAGTGACACTCAGCAACCCCCACAACAAGCACTCCTGGCGGTGGCCCCTATTTAAAAAAATATTTCAAAGAAACATATAAAATCACGTTTGACTGAATTCCTGGGTACCGGACTAGTCAGATGGATGAAATTAACCTTTGCAAGAAAGAGAAGACTTTCCAACTCAATTTATAAAGCTAGTATTATTCCAGTGTCAGAACCAGACGAAGAAAACTCAGACCAGCATCTTTTAGCAACTCAAACATCCTTAACAAAATATTAGCACTATTAACTATATTTAATAATAATGAATTCATGGTTATCCAAGAAGACTGTTTTAATATTAAAAATGTAACCAATGTAATCCACCAGGTTAACAAATTAAATTTAAAATAACACAGAAGTATATTAACTAATGTAGAAAAAAACAGTCCAACACCTATTCATGATTGAGTCCTCAAAAAAATTGTGATAAATAACTGAAACTCATTCTTTTATGAAGAAGTCTGTCTTAATGAAAAGCAACTACTGGCAATTTATAGGTAACATTATGCTTAATGATGAAAACAGATCCTTTCTTCTAAGACAGGACAAGACGAGGATGTCCTGTCATCATGTATAATTAATGCAATGGAATTTCTAGTCAGTCAAGTCTAGAAAAGAAAAAAAAAAGTTGTACTGTTTGGAAAGGAACTAGAACTAATAGAGTTCACCATGATCTTAGGCTACAAAGATACATGTATGTACATATATTTTATATTTCCGTTTAATAACAATGACAGTGATAAAAACCCTAAAAATGGCATTGGGTTCAGTTCCTGGGTTATAAATAAGTATAAAAAGGAACATATATCTATGAGCTTAACTGAGAGCAAGCTGTGTTTTGTGGTGTAGAAGAGACCTCCTTAAATTTTCTTCATTTGTAACCCCATTTCACCAGAGAATTTGTTTTGGGCTACACCCAGCGATGCTCAGGGCTTGCTCATGACTCTGCATTTGGGAATAACTCCTGGTATTGCTCAGCGCACCATATGCAGTCCTGGAGACCAAATTGGGGTTGTGACCACAAGCAAGGCCTTAACCCCTCTGCTATCTCTCCAGTCCTCATCTGAGAAATATTTCTGTGACCACAGAGACAGAGGTATACAAAAGCAAACATAAACTGGTGATAAATCCTACGTTTATTTTAAGAAGACCTTTATAGTTCTGTGGTCCCATATGGAGTCACTATCCAGAGTTGTAGAAACTCTGGTTTAGAAGACTCACTGTCTCTTTAAAGATCACTGGTGGATAAACAGGTGGATAAACACTGGTGGATAAACTCTGGGCACATGGGGTGTTAGGTGTAAATATAGGGTTAGCTCTTGACACGGCATACTGCGCTTGGAACCTGGAAGGGTCACATACAATTATCAGTCCTTGGTCCCTTGAGCTTATAGAATGCAGTCTATCAGCCTATCAGAACTGAGAAGAACCGTAAAGCCCCTCCTGACTAGGATTGGTCCATCTGCTTCCAAACCTTTTCTGTATTCAGTGGAGACTTTTAACCCACAAGTAGATGAAATCCATTCCTATGTCAGGTGGCCTTTTATACCTGCTTTGTTGGGAACAGAGTTTAAACTCCATCAAGTATTTGCTGCATGTTTAGAGCTTTTCACGGATCACCTTATCTCATTTTCCCAATGATCATGCGATAAAACCACTTTCATGCCCTGTTTGACAGATCTATAAACTGAGGCAGAGTGGCCAGGCTGCCTTCGCGGGCTTACCTCATTTGGAAGCAGTGGAGTCTCAGAGGCGGGGGCGGGGTGTTGAGTCTGCACCACAGGCCAGATGGGCATTTGTTCCGTTTGTTCCAGAGCTTCAGATTAGAACAAATGGATAGCCTATTTCAAGTGTGTATTTATCCCAGTCACCTCCTAGGTCATTCAATATGTAGGAAATGCTGGGAAACCAAAGAACTAGAGATTCAAATAACTTTTACCTTTCAGCAGCTCAGAGTGTGAGAACATTTGGGTGTTTGTCTCCGCTCCACAGACCAACGCAAACCTTTCAACTCAGGTTCGAGCCAAATGTCCTCTCTGATCTGTGAAGCAGCTGGTGCCAGTTTTGGGGGTGGTGAAGGGGGCAGGGTACCATTTTCAGCATCCAGCATGATGTAAACACATGGGCACCTTTGCTGTAGTTCCTCTGACACAGAGCCCCTAAGGGCTTCCTCACAGCCCCGAGGATGCGGAGTGGTGGGTGTTTGGCTTTCACCAGAATCAGTGGTGGCGTGGGGTGTGCAGGCTTCGAGGGGGGCCGGCTGCTGCTCTGCCTCCCGGCTGGCTGGCTCCGGGCCTCCTGCTGTGTGTGCCAGCAGAGGCAGATCACGGCGCTCTCCTAGGAAACCCAGAGTTCTGGCCTTATACCCAATCTGACAAGAAAGGAGTTTTTTTTTTGTTTTTTTTTGTTTTTTTAACTTTTTTCCCTTCTTCTTCCAGTCCATGACCAGGAAGATGAATTCTCCCGAGCCCCACATCCGGGCTTAAGTCTGAAAAACCTAGTTCAGCATTTTTGAAGGAGCTGCTCCCAGAGCAGTTTGACAGCAGATCTTAAAGTATTAAAGGGCTGTTGAGAGCAAAGGAAAGGGTGGGAGGCCCATCACAAATGCGTGTGGCCCACACATTGTGGAGTCAGCTACCCACTGTGCTTTCTCTTTCTCTCTCTCTCTCTCTCTCTCTCTCTCTCTCTCTCTCTCTCTCTCTTCCCAATCAACCCTGCATTCCTCTATCCCCCACCCTCTCTTTTCCTAAATAAAACTCTTTATTTCACTTAAAAAATTGCATGTATGTATATAATAGGTGGCCATGATAGGAAAATAAATACAGGTTAAAAAGAAAAAAAAAAAGCAAAAAGCCCCTTGCTGGTATGATCTTGATGGGAACAAACTGGTGAAAGCTCCTGGACAAAAATTGCTATTCCCTTGCAGCGTTCAGGGATGCTAACACGCCTGTACCTTTCTCCTTTGTAAAATTGTGAATGCAGTTACACGGCAGAAAAGCCAACAGCCGTTTTGTAGAAACAGCAGAGCGCTCACATCCCCCTGAACTGGGGAGCTGGTTTCTGGGTTCGCGGTACTGCTCATGGTGGCTGGGTCCCAAGATGCGCGTCTCAGAGCCTGGCCCTGTGCTTCTTCCCCAGACACCCAACGGATTGCTCCTGACCCCGAGCCCACTGCTGTCCAGCATACACTTCTGGAGCAGCCTCAGTCCAGTTGCTCCTCTCAGCCCTGCCAGGCTGCAAGGGCCAAACACGCTGTTCCAGGTAAGTGTCCGGAAGGGAATTGGCTCCAGTGCCAAACTTCTTTGGGATGCACTTCCTTATAAAGCACCCCCACCTTCCCGCTCCTGAAAAGGGAGTTTTACGTGGCTTGTTCAAATGTTACATTTTCAAAGACAGTGGGTGTTATGTGGCTCACCAAAGATGGGCTTTAAAGGCAGATGTTTTTCTGAGGCGGAAACGGTGGATGCGTTTCAGATATCCGTAAATAGGACTGTTGGTGCTTGAAAGGGGGGCAGTCCTTAGAGTGCTTTGAATTCTTTTCAGTGACTCTGAAATCTGGGCACTAAGAGAAAACAAAACTGAACATCATTTTTTATCAAAACTCCTAAAAGACTTTAAGTTTTAGTTGCTCTACCTTGCATATACGGAATGGGTGTGCAGATTCACTACTAATTGGCACCCTGGAATTTTGCATAGCCTCGCTTGCCATGGTGTGGAAATCTGTATTTCCTCACTGATACCCAAAGGTTGTTACTAACTGACCAAGATGGCACTATCTGAATATCTGAGTGTAAGCAGGAAGGATACTAAGGACAGAAATTATCCATTATGTCTCGGCCACCCCAGAGTAGTGGCAATTCTTTTGTTCCTGCTGAATCTAGCTTTACCACTTGGGTATAATTGCCTGTTCATCTGGCAATCTCCCCTCGTGACAGTGGGCCTTAAGAGACTAGAATTGCATCTTGTTCATGGTGTTGTGCCCCTGGCATCCAGCTCTCTGCTTGGTGTACAGATGATATCCAGTAATTACTGTTGGCTCACAGAATGGATGTAGTCAGGACATGTTTTAAGAAAGCACATGCTGGAAAGAACACTTTCTAGAATGTGTCATTCTTTGCTTGTCAAGGTTAATATTTGCCGAGTACCTCCTCTGTGCCAGGACAGCACCTGCTGGGATTTAGGGGGTCCTGCTGGAAGAAGAGGTGGGGCTAACGAGGGTTTCGATTACTATCTTGCTTCTCTGCTTTCCTAGGAGGATTGGGGCAGAGTGTCATAATACATCCCTGGAGTAATCAGGTTTCTCTTCCTTGGCCCTCTTCCCATTCTGAGAATGGAAAGCTCGCTTATGTGCAGCCAAAATGTTAAATCAGCCATTTTAACTCGGGCCAGGGGACACAGGCTAGAAAGAGCAAGCAAGTATAGCACTCCAGCGTTTGAAGTGATTCCATTTTAAGCAGAGAGGTAAAACACTTGTCTTTGGAAAGTTTCGTCTTACGTTCTGGTGTTAGAGCTCTGGAGGAGAGCTGTGGGATGTGGACTCCCTACCCTGACACCCAGCGTAGTTCAGGGGATTCTTGTGAATAATGCATAGTCTCTGCCACTTCTTTACTGGGAATCCTGCCACCTGACTAGTGACTTCCAAAGAAGCCATGGGTTATGGGTTATGGGTGTCTGGGATCTCGTATTCCTAGCAGGGACAGTGGTCCATGGCCACTCAATATGTTATCAGTATATCCAGAAGCTTGGAGGTTCAGAGGTAGAATCTGCTTAGGGATCACTCATGGGACTTGGGGGGACCATATGTGGTACCTGGGATCAAACTGAGTGTTGGCTACGTGGAAAGGCAAGTGGTCTGGTCCACAGAAGTGTTTTTAAAATACAAATCATTGGACCTCACCTCCAGAGTTCTAGATTCAGAAGGTCTGGGATGGGACCTGATAATGACATTCTTTCAAGTTCCTTGTGATGCTGCAGACTACAGGTTCCTAATTTACATTTAACCTTCTGCAGAAACACATTTAAAGCTCAGATTTAAACTAAAGATTACGACAAATATTGTGATAGTTTACATGTAAACAGGGATCACAGAAACCTAACACATGCCTAAGAAGATTTACAGCAGAGTTCTAATTACAGGTCTTGATACCAAAAAGTGATGGATGTCAGGATTCATGGTAGCACTTTAGGTATTATTTCTTAGTGCTGAAATAAAATTTGTGGTGCCAAGGACCTAGATCCAGTGGTAAAGCACATGCCCAATGTGTACGAGGTCATGAGTTTAATTCCTGGTGCCACAAGACCCCCACCACCCCACTACCTGGCTCATACATCACAGCAATGCCCTCCACCCCCCACACTGAGTGTGGTCCCTGTGAAAAAGCAACTTTTTGTTTTGTTTTAAAGTGCACCACTGCTCCATATGAAAGTTTGCACCTCTTGATAACAGGGTTTTTGACTGTTAATCACTTCAGCTCCTGAGTAATTCAGTGGAACGTGTGCTGTCAGTGACTGAACTGTGTGACCTGTGTTTCAGAGTTCAGAAAACAGCAGGCTCCAAGAGTTTGCACACCAAGAGCGTGGGCCTTGACTTTCCCCTTCCTCTCACCTTCTTTGTCACGTTGCTCCAAAGACCAACCAGCAGACAGATGGATAGGCTGGTGTTATTTCCTTGGTTGAAAAAGGAGAGTCTTTGTATCAACTTTAAGAATCAGCTCCTCTGAAAATAGAGGGATCTTGTGTGTGCGCTCAAGAAAAGATCCCTCTCCCCTGGCCCAAGTCACTGGTTCACACTCCAAATGGCCGTGTTAGTGAGTTGGTAGCTGGCTCAGTTCTTTGCTGGGGACACCTTGGATGAGAGGGCTCAGGCATTTCCAGTTTCCAGCAGTCTCTAGTACTCATGCATGTTGCCAATGATATTTTATAAAACAAAAATAATATCCTGGACATAGAAACAAATCATCTGTTGCCTGTACTTTACACTACTTCACTATTGTCCTGTGGTGGATCCTTGGCACCACAGATTGATTTTATGGGGCAGGTTCCAAATCTTAACAAAAGTGATCCGCCCCTCTTCTTCCCCCCCCCCTCATACTCCAAACTGCAAAATACAATGGTGATAGCGCAAAATTACATACATGCTACACTGTCCCAGAGTTGACACTTTGCGAAAAACTATGGATACCTGGGGCTACTTTCTGAGGAACATCAGTGTCCTTGTTTGCTGTCCTGTTCTGCTAAGTTTTGTCCTTCACAGAAGGCCACTAGTTTTTCATTGTCAGTACAGAATGGGTTGCCAGCAAATCCTTCCCTTCCTTCCCCTGCACTGGGGTGAGGTGTGCACCCTGTACGGAAGGGTGACTCCAGAGCATCGAGCCACTGGAAAGCTCGGAAACTATTCCTGCCCTTCAGATTGCATCTTCTCAGCGTGCTCCTGTGGTGTCAGGGCTTCTTCTGTCCCTACTCGAAACTCAACAGATGGATCAGTGGCTGCTCCTGAGAGCTCAGTCTTTTTTGTTTTGGGCCCACACCGGGCTGTGCTCAGGGCTCACTCCTGGCAGGGATCAGGGCACCCTATGTGGTGCTGAGAATCAAACTCGAGTCAGCTATTTGCTAGTGTCTTACCCCTGTATTCGCTGTAGTCCAAGTGTCTCTGTCATCCCAGGGATAAGGAGGCCCCATTAGCCTGTCCTCAGCGGGCTAAACATCTCCGGATGGATGTTAGCTTCCCTGGCTGGGACCAGGTCAGCTTCACCGGAGTGTTTTTCCATTTCATCTGGAACATGAGCCCTCCATTGGAGCCTGGAACTCCACTGTGGTTCCAAATTCCCAGGGGCAAGGCCCTGTGGGTTTCCCGACTCTTTCTTTGTTGACTTGCTTTCCTCTCCCTTATCTTCAGAATCAGAAGCTGTGTCACACTTGGCTCCCTCTGATTTATCAGTCCTGCCTGTACTTTGGTGGTAAGGGTGGAGCAATCCAGCTTCTTTTGAGCTCCTGTGGCCTCGGCTTCAGGGGAAGAACTCCGCTTGGTGCTTTGCCTCTCAGTGGTCAGTTCTTTACACTCCATATTCCCTGTTCCTCCTCTAGCACCTCCTCCACTTTGTTTGGTTTCTTCTCCCTGCCAGCTCTCTGGTATAAAGGGTGATACTGCTCAGAACAGTGCCTAGGAGCAGAGTGGAAATTGGAGTGGTGCCCGGAACAGGGTCAATCTGCATGACTGTGGTTGAGCCCTCAGTGAAGCATACAGCAGGCTCTGGGTACTTTTTGGTCTTGGCATTTAATGATGCTCCGAGCACTGCTGGATGTGGTACATCTCCCCCTCACCCCCCCCCCGCCTTTTATTTTTTTAAGTTAAAAGCAGTCAAGTGTGTTAAGTATTATTAGCAGTTCTGAAAATGGCAAATAATATAGTACAAAAGGTGTTCTGATTTTTAAAAACATGTATCTCAAATGGTAGATTTTCAAAATTTATGTTACTATCAATAAGGCCCCTTTAAAAATTAATGAAAATCATTTTCTTTTTAATTAAAGATACACTATAAATTGTTGAAGGATTGATTGTATGCTGTGTCATGGAGGATTAAAAAGGACAAAACTGACTTGGCCTTGAATCAATTTAAATAATGTTTTCAAGTTTCTTATGATTGGAAATTACTGGAAAAGTAGACTAGAACCCTTAGGGTATTTGACAGAGACATTGACAGAGCAAGGGAGTTTTTGCATAGAAGGTGCCAATACAAGTACTATAGCAGGATATAGACGATATGGCAGATGTCAGGGAAAGAGGAGATAATAGACTTCCTGGATGTATAATATAGATCTGTATGTAGATATAGCCTCTGTAGTTTACACATAATTCAGTGGAGAGAGGAGAAAACTATTATACTAAGTCTGCTTATAAAACCTTGACTTACCAATGAAATGAAGCGACTTTCAAGTGGACAGTTTCATAGTTCAAGCTTGTCTACAATAAGTTTGTTGACTTTTTAAGCTGATTTTGATCAAATGTAGAATATACTTGGCAGGTACAGTTGTAGTTGAAATGATATGGAGCTAATTAAGTTTTACTGAGAATATTTTGTGTAACTTTTGTGTAATTCAGTGAAGCTGAATTACAAAATTCTATTTTTGTGTAATTCAGTGAAGCTAACCCAGAAAATATTTGCAGTCCGCTTTGAGGCAGAGACTATAGGGGATATACAATATGTAAATAACAGATAAATAAGCAAGATACTCCCAGAATCCAACTTGAACAGCTCTCTCCAGCTCAAAGAATAGTAGCATCAGAATGGAAGGAGAGACAGAATCGCAGTAGAGAGAAGTTGGGTACATTTGAGGTTAAATGATGCACATGATTTAGATGTGAAAGTGAACACTTTGTGTGGGAAGGAACTGGGTGACAGGAGATTGGGTTGGAAAAGCAGCGATGGACTTTTAATTATATACACAGGAGTTTCTACCCTAATCTCTTAAGTGATAACCATAGAGAGGTTTTTAAAAACGAAAAAAGGTAACAAGATCCCTCTTTTATTTATTGTTTTGATTTTTGGGCCACACCTGGCGGTACTCAGGGATCACTCCTGGCAGGCTCAGGGAACCATATGAGGCGCTGGGGATATCCTATCTGTGCAAGGCAAACACCCTACCCACTGTACTATGGCTCTGCTCCCAAGATCTCCCAGTAATGGCATTAAGGGTCAGAATATGTGAGGAAATTTCTATTACTCCAAATACTGATTGAAAAAGAATTTCTTTTTTCGGTTTTTTTTTTTTTGGGCCACACCCAGCAGTGCTCAGGGCTTACTCCTGGATCTGTACTCAGGGGTCACTCCTGGTGGGCTCAAGGGACCACATGGGTTGGTGGGATTGAATGAATCTGCTTTGGCCATTGCAAGACAAGCACCCTACTCACTGTACTATGGCTCCAGTTCCTCAAAAAATTATCTTTTGATAACTTTTATTTGGACAAGTGGTGGCTTTTATATTTTCATCAAAACACAAAAACATAACATGGTGGGGGGTGGGAGTCCATATCTCTTCAACCACTGCATGGTTCAACTCTCTGTATAAACTGTACATTACAAAGCTTATGGGCTGGAGTGATAGCACAGCAGGTAGGGTGTTTGCCTTGCACGCAGCTAACATGGCCGACCCAAGTTCGATTCCTCCGCCCCTCTCGGAGAGCCCGGCAAGCTACCGAAAGTATCTCACCCTGTGACATGGCAAAGCCTGGCAAGCTCCCCGTGATGTATTTGATATGCCAAATACAGTAACAAGTCTCAAAATGTTACTGGGCCCGCTCGAGCAAAACGATGAACAATGGGGTGACCGTGCCGTGACAAATCTTTTAGTGGTAGATTGTATTGTTTACTATATTAAATTTGATTTGTATCTCTTTCATTTTAAAAAAGTCACTATGTTCTCCTGCCTATTTTCAGTTACTTTGGGATTGGGAAGGGGTGTTTTAGAAATAGGATTTAAATCTTTTATCTTGACTTTAAAAGTACAAGGATAGTTTGAGGAGCTTTATTTTTTTGTATATTGATATGGTTTGAATATAGAGAATTTTCATGGCCTGATACGGATATATAAGACTCAAATAATCAGTTGGGAGTGATGTGCAGTAAAAAATACATGTCCCTGATAGTGTTTTGTATTCAAGGTATTCTTTGTATGTAAAACTGAACAGCTACTGTGCTATGTTGATTTTATCAGCAGTAATGAGCAAACCTTGCTACTGCTAGTTTCAAAGCCCACTATTTTGAAAATAAAAATTTATTTTGACATATACAGATGAATGAAACTAAAACAAAATAATTCAGAGTAGAACAGTGGACAAAGGACTATACTTAGAAGACATTCCAAAGATTATCTAGAAAACTGAGAAGGCAACTCTTACTGAGTATGCAGGTAATGATGACGCAGAGATTACGAAGTTATTAGGGTGGCAAAATTTAGGCCTGTTGAGTTCATACAGTGACAAGGTGCTTGCTGTGCACGTGGTGGACTCAGGCTTGATCCTCGGCACTCCCTATGGTCCCAAGTCCTGCCAGGAGCAAGCCCTGAGCACTGCTGAGTATGACTTCAAAAAAGAGTTTTTCTTAAACTGGAAAATCTATTAATAACCGATTAATATTAAAGAATGTCAGCCCTGTCACTTCTGTTCTACATGTTAACAAGAGGAAGACCTTGATTGAAATTTGGGTCCTGTTCCTGATCATTGTCACTAAGAGTATGGACAGAAAGCCAGTTCTGTGAGAGAGGCAGTAGAGAGTGCTTTAATTGGTAGCAGGAAGTGATTGTCAAGGTCAGTACAGGAGAAAGCAAGGCTGAGGACAAAAGTTGAGAAAATGTTACAATTTAACAAAGCAAAAAGCTGATTATTTGTGAAAATACCCTTATGGTAGATAGAAAGTCAAATGAGTGATGATGTAAGTAAACCAAAATGAACAATTAAAAAACTCTTTTGGGGCTGGAGCAATGGTACAGCGGGTAGGGCATTTGCCTTGCATGCGGCCAACCCAGGTTCGATTCCCAGCATCCCATATGGTCCCCTGAGCATCACCAGGAGTCATTCCTAAGTGCAGAGCCAGGAGTAACCCCTGTGCATCGTCAGGTGTGACCCCTCCCCCCAAAAAAGCAAAAAATAAATGAAAAAAACAAACAAAAAAACCTCTTTCCTGATGTATCAGTGGAAATAGTAGTTTGGAGCACTGACCTTAAATGAGAGTAAAAAACTTGAACAACCCAATTGAAGTGTATAAACATATGCAAAAAATTAAAATTCTGAAGTATCAATAAAGAAATGAAGTTTTGAACATGTCATTAACAGTTAGGAAACTGGCATGATTGAAAAGTGCCTCCTGCCCCATGCCCATACCAAACCTCTGCCAAAAACCAGCTGGGAAGTTTCTATCAGTGTAGTATTTTCAGTCAGATGGAGTTTAAAACTTACCCTTATACTTATTAGCTATAACCTTTAGTCAGAACTTACATTCTGTTTTCTCCTCTACAAGACATATTAATCCCTTTTAAGAGTCAAATTAAATGGAAACCATTGATAAACTAAGGCATTAGACACACAAGCTACTCAAATAGTTTGAAAAGTACAAAAATATACTTGTTAGAACTTTAATACATTATTTATAGGACATGTATTACATGTTCTCTGTACAGAACTCTGTAGTTTGGCATTTAGTGTTGATAGATGTAAAGTTTAGTATTTAACTTAGCCGTATGAAATGGGAACTAAAGCAGAAGATACCAGGGAATCATTTTGACACTTCCTTCCATATCATGAAACTCTAGTTGTGAACTCTTTTTAAATGTTCCCTTAATTATTTAAAATGTTCTTGTATTTCTTGTTCAGCTGGAATATAACATTTATGTATTTTATAGTATATTCGTAAAAAATATAAGATAGATGAGAGCATGTACTTTTCTCCTGTTCATCTCCTTTTCATCACCTTATATACTTAACAGTATGGAAATTAATTTTACTCTTATCACTTATGGATGGGTGATCTCGATATATCAAGTCTGACAGCATCGGTAATTTTAATTAGAATATTTTCTCAGTTACAAAATATTATTTCTTTCTATCCTATTTTCAAAAACTCATAGTCAAGTTAAAAGTAGTTTTAGAAATTTACTGATTCATAAATATAGTTGTCTATGAATTCTAATAATTTAGAACCTTTTATAGAAAGTAATTCTCTCCCTCAACAGCCTAGATATATAAATCTGGACTTCCCCCCTTTGTTTGCTGTATCAAGATCATTGTTATCTACCAGTTACTCAGTCAGTGAAATAACCAACAACTGACTCTATCATAGGGGAGACAAGAAAAAAGTTCCACTAGGGCCTACTAATGTAAACATTTCCAACTCCTCCCAGTAGATTTGCAACGCTTATTAAAAAACATCTTCTGTTCCCTACAGTTCCCAACCCTGCTCAACGGCCATATGCCAGTGCCGATCCCCAGTCTGGACAGAGCTGCTTCTCCAGTCCTGCTTTCTTCCAATTCTCAGAAATCCTGATGACATCTGGCCACAATGAAAGACTCATTCGCTGATGAAACAAAAGTTGTCCTCATGGGCTGGTTTACCTGTGTCATGAGAAGGACATTGTGAAACCCTCTGTTAATTTGGTTTGCACTTTTCATAACTTGGATGGTCAAGATTTATGTTAGCATTTTAAAAACATTTTTTATATTCAAGTATATATGAAATCTGTTTTGCATTAAATGAATTTTAATTTTTTTTATATCCTTAGCTCTTAAGTGTTGAACACTGTTGACAGTGAAGAACTTTTCTTAATAATTTTCAGTCTAACTAATAAGGATGTGAAGTTTTTTTCTTCTTTAATCCTGCATATGCTGAACTGTGCTTCTATACACTATAACCAGCTGTGCCTTCCTTGCATTTAGTTTTATGTAAATGATTTATATGTTTTTAGTACTAAGAGAAAATGTTTGAGAGAGAAAAATTAGCATCAAACAGCTCTCTTGTAGAATTTTGTTATTTTTCACAAGTAGGCAATATGAAAGCATAGTCATATTACGTTTGCTTTTTTGCTTTCAGTTGTATAAGAATTGCCTTAGAACTGAAATTCAGTAAATGTAATGTCCGCATAATATTTTTATAAGAATAAACTAAGCCATAGACAATAAACACAAAAAATGTTTTAAAGTGCGTTTTTTACAGAAGACTAGAACCCTGGAATGGCTAGCCTTCTAATCTTAATGATCATTTAGGCTTTACCAGAATAGAAACTTGAGAAAGGCTACATTAAACTTAATCTGTCCTATGCTCCTGGAGAACTGTTCCTGAGGTTAACATAATCTTTCAAAGAATTAGCCCCAGTTCTCCCAAATTTCCATACAGAATCACACCCCTCTGGCTCATTTAATGCACTATTATGTAGGGTGTCTCTAAACACTTGAAACTGTAATTAACACGAAAATTGCATACTTTGGAAGAAGCTCCAGATTGGTGATGATTAGCAACAGCAAAGAAACAGAAACAGTATTGTTACTCATATATCTTCAGTGTGGTACAGCCTTTCTTGAGTACTAAAAGGCAGGATACAATACTTTATGTATTACTGAATTTGTGGTAAGAATGAAGGAAATCGATAAAACGTATGAAGAACGTCAAGCACTTCATCAGTGTAAAACAACTGATCTTACAGTAATTTGGAATACTCAGAAGTAAATTCTCTGTAGTTTAGAGCAGTGGTATTTCACAAAAAATTAATCTGTAACTTCAAAATAAAAGTAGGCACCATTCATAGGTGTCATTTTGTACATAACAATTATAAAGAGCCCTGTGCTTTCAAGATTAAGCTAGTCATTATTTTTTAACACAAGTAACAAAACCTGATTTGAATGTGGTTAGGAAATTTATCTAACCCAGGTATTAAATGGCAGGGGTTATTACGGGGGTAAAAATAAAGGAATTTAAACACAGGAATTTAAAAAAATATGTAAAATTTTCTTATGATAACCTACAAATTTTGAAGTAGGAACGGAACATTCTCTGTGTAGGGATATATGCACCTATGGGGCTGGGGGGAGGGCAGGAGGTGGGGAAGCCAAGCACTGCTATGCATTTTTGACTTACTAAAATAATTGGGGGCTGATTACAAAATCTACAAATAGAAATCACTTGCTGCTCCCTCATAGACTATGGATAATTCTTTACTGAAAGAGTAGTGAGCAAGTAAGATATCTGAGCTAAAAGGATCCGTTAACAACACATAAGCCCCCAGCCCCACTGCCACCATCACTATTTCCAATTAAGGACAAGTGTACAAAAGCTGGGACTTGCCTTAGGCCACACAGCTCACTGAAAGTAAAACAATGCTTGGTGCTCAATCCAGTTCTGTTTCCCCACGCTTAGCTAAAAGTAACTACTGATCCAAAACTGTTAGGGAAAATTAGGGAAAATAGAGCATTAAAAACCAGGTCAGATAAGAGAAGAAAGCATCAGAAATACAAGATTCTTAGAGAAACTAAAGGAAGTTAACTGATGTGCAAATATCTCAACCAAAAATACATCATTGTAACTGCTGATAGAAAATACCGAAATAATTTTAAATCTGAGTCTTGAATTCCTTTCCACCAAAATACTATGACTAATGTATGTATTCGCTAGCTCTATCAGACACTGAAGAAATATTTCCGATGGATCAAAAAAGTCACTGTAACAGAACTGGAGGCTTTGAAATATAACATAACTGCCTCATTCTGTGTGTGTGGTTTTAACAACTTTTAACAATGAAAACAGATTTCAAGAATATATTAAAGTAAAAAAAATACATGTCTGCTTGATCAGTGTTAAACTGCTATGGCTAAAGTTTTACAGAATTACAAATGATCGTTTTTGTATACATCTTTTCTATGACTGTAAATTTTCATTCCCTTTCTTGTATGTATCATTTTTACTGTTATATTATTTTTGTTCAATAAATACTTTGTGATAAAAGGTGTGAAGAGACAAATGGGCCGTTTTACTTGGGATAATACAAATTTCACTTTTTCATATGGGTAAAGGGTGAATGCATCTTATCCAACAATTAATTATGGCACAAATAAAAATATACTATGCATATAAATTGCTTAAAACATAGTTAAGGGAACAAATACAGGTAATAATGTTAAATTGAGGGGAAGGAAGGGGTTTCAAAAGTGGTTCTGTCAGCCCAGGTTTAACTTGACCCCCTGCCGCAACTCACACTCACACATGTTCCCCTGAGGATCACTGGGATTGATCTCTGAGTGCAGAGCCGGAAGTAAGTAAGCCCACACACAGCTGGGTGTGGCCCCCAAATAATAATGTCCCCAATTTTTAAAACTCTAAATTCCAGCTCTTATTCTGAAGTGACATGGAGAAAGAGAAAAAACAATTTATTACTCATTCTCTCAGTACCAATTAATATCATAGTCCATGTAGAAAGACAAAGCTTCCCCCTAAGATCAGGAATAATTTTAAGGACACTGGTTTTACTACGATTTTCTATTCAAATAGTACTGAAAATCCTAGCCAGAGTGCTTGAGTAGGAAAAATAAAATACAGCAAAATTTGTAAGTATAACTCTTTACAGACGACAAATGTAGAAAACCCTAAAAACTAAAGAACCCACCAAAAACCTATTACATCCAAGCACTGTAGCACTGTCGCCCTGCTGTTCAAAGATTTGCTGGAGAGGGCACCAGTAACGTCTCCATTTGTCCCTGTCACGTGCTAGTCTAGCCCAATGGAGTCTGCGTGCTCCAGGACCACGAAGTGAGACTTGTTGTTACTTACAACTAAATCAACAAAAATTGAAGGCTACAAAATTGACATAAAATTTTTTGTATTTCTACAATAGCAATGAAAGATTAAAAAATTAAGAAAACAATACTATCTATAATAGTATTTAAAAATAAGATACTGAAGAAATTATTTTATTTTTTAGTTTTTGCTTTTTGGGTCACACCACTCTGCACTCAGGAATTACTCCTGGTGGTGCTCAGGGGACTATATGGGATGCTGGGAATCAAACCTGGGTTGGCTGCTTGCAAGGCAAATGCCCTACCTGCTGTGCTATAGCTCTAGCCCTGATACTGAAAAAATTAATCAAGGCATAAATATTGCACACAATGATAAAGATACAAGCATTGTGAAAAGATCTTGCATTTAGAGACTAGGGGAACACTGTAATACCAAAAGTAATATAAAGCCAATACAATTCTTATCACAATTTTAATAGCATTTCCCCCAGAAATAGACGACCTTATCCTAAAGTTTACATGACATTCTAAGGAACCCTAAGTAGCCAAAACCAATCTAAAATGGGGAATAAACTGAAGAAGGTATTATTTCATTTCAAAACTTACAAGTGTTACAAAGCTGTCAGTAATCAAACATTAAGGTATTGCTGTAAAGACAGACATACCAATAAACTGGGAACTTTCACATCTACAGTCACTGAATTTTTTTTTTTTAAACAATGTTGCCAAGAATATTCAAGGGAGAAAAGTATTTTCAACAGTCTTAGGAAAACTGAGTGTTCACATGTAAAAGAATGATGTTATGAATGAAGTAAGGCAGAAGAAAGGCAAATACAGGATGATCTCATTTATGGTATATAGAATACTGAAGAAATGTAGTAAAAGGGGAGGCCTAGACCACCATTGATGCCATTATTTAAAAAGGGGAAGGAGAGAGAAGGAAAGAAAGATACGAGAGGTGATATCCAAGGTCCAAAGTATCCACAAGAGGGACATGGCTGACCTAGGTTCAATCCCTGGTATCACATATGGTCCCCTGAACCCTGACAGGACTGATCCCTGAGTACAAAACCTGACGTAAACCAAATCAAACTAAAAAGATAATGATACAATAAAAAAAAAACCCAAAGAACAACTGCCTTGAGTCCCAAAGATAGTCTAGTCTTTCAACATAAGCTAATGAACTACCAAATAGAATACAACCATAATCCTACTGACATAACCAATGTGTGTTAGTTAACATTACCTGGGAGTCACTGTCACTGTCCTCCCGTTGTTCATCAATTTGCTCGAGTGGGCACCAATAACTTCTCATTGTGAGACTTGTTATTAACTATGTTTGGCATATTGAAAAATCACGGGTAGCTTGCCAGGCTTTACTGTGTGGGCAAGATACTCTTGGATGTTTGCCAGGCTCTCCAAGAGGAGCAGAGGAATCGAACCCAGGTCAACCGTGTGCAAGGCAAACGCCCTACTCGCTGTATTATCGCTCCAGCTCCTCCAATAGTAAATAACCAAAAAAGATCCCTTCTTACCTTTAAGAACCTTGTCATTTTAAGATGAATTGTAAGTTTAAAGGTTCAAATCTTCTGAGTTTCATGATCTTCATGGTCGAGTTGTCAGGATCTGAATGGTGCTCGATTATCAAAAAGAAAAACACCAATTTCTTACTAAAGAATTTTTTTTGACTTTCTAGAATAATTTTATGTAAGTACTCCATATTATTTCTCTACTTTTTACATGTTCCAAATCAAAACACACTAATGGAAACTTTATCAAATTTGCAACAAATCAAATATGTAGCCTCAAATGGACACTTTTCACTATTGAGAGTACCACCTATAAAATTATAGCATGAACGGCTAAATGGATGATGCACATTTATAAATCCCATTCTGCAAAGCCTCCTTTCCCAGAAAGAACTGTGACGACACAACCACACTTTAACAACATGAAGATTTTGTTATTATAAATTTCAAAACAAAATGGAGGAATTTCCACATAATATTTATAACCTTCAAAGTACAATATTAATACATGTCTGTCAGTTAGAAACAACAGCAGTTAGGTTACAGGATTTAACATAAAACCAATTTACAAATGTGAAAACAGTAGTGGTCCAATATTCACCATTACACATGAATCTTGTTTCTTTCAGAAAATTTTTTTAAAAAATTAAAATCTCAGTATCATGAAATATTAAAATAATACCCCAAACATGCCACAATCACTATTCACAAATAAAGTTAAAATGAAATATACAAAAATTCACTTAATACTGTTAAATAACAATAAACTACAAGATTTCCTGAACAGAAATGGTAGGACCCCTGAATGTTTTACAGTGAATGTCAGGAAAAAAATTAAGTTATGACTATTTTCATGATATATAAGCCAAAAATTTACATGATCATTTCAAAATATACCAATTAAAATTTGTAGTCTGTAAGATGCACTAAGCAGTCCTTTAAAGTGAACACAAATGCTTAAAACACTGTTACCAACACCAAGGTGTATTTAAGATGTTCAAAGAGGTGCATAATTAAAACTGTAGTATTTATTATCTCTGGTAAACAGATAATACCTACACAATGCTTAAAAAAATCCCCTAGGCTCTCATTTCTTTCATCTATATTTATCATGGCTCATATCAAAGACTTATTACAGCTTTCAGCTGACTCTATGTGAATGTTATTAAAACAAACACACACAGCCCCCAAGTGAAAGAAATTGTATCTCAGTGAAGTATCATCCTTTCTAAAAGAAGTATATTTAAAGCAAACAAAAACAAGACTGCTCATGTTTGACTGGACTTGTACAATTTAGTTTTAACTAAATTAAAGCACAATGTAAAGTAGGTAAGTGTATTAGTATACAAATATCCAACAATATGCAGTAAATATTTCTAAAAATGAGGAAAGGTAAGAATAAATAATTTTGGTGCTTTAATTTATTGGTATCTAATATGAGATTCCCAAAATATCAGGTATTCACTTGCTTGAAATCAACTTTTGCATCACATGCTTTCATAAACATAATGTGCTTATCAATTTCTTAGCTATCTATTTGTCAATGTTCAATAAAAAAATTATATAGCATGAACTTAAGAGTGTTCAAGATGGCTCACTTATTTTACTGTTGAAGCAAAGCTAAATTTACATTCCAGGAAACACTGCAGTTTAATTTTAAAAACAAACAAAAAATGCAGCAGTATAACAATTCGTGAGGAGAAACAGATGCATTCACATATAATAAAGCCACTGCAACTTCTTCAGGCATTCAATTGTTGTGTTAAATAAACAGACAGTAGTTATTTAGCAGCAATGATTCCGCAATAAATAATGCACTGTGTTTCTCAGTCCTGCACAAAAATTGCAGCTACAGTTACATCAACAGCTGTAACCTACTGGCTCTAATGGCAGAGAAGACCTTAAAACCAACTGTACAAAAAATTGTCACACTGTGACAACAAATATAAAAACAATCTGTAGGTCTGAAATAAAAAGACTCCACTGTGAAGAGGACAGTGTAGACAAATGAAGATTCCAAGTCCACCAAAAGAAATAATTGCCTTCAGATCTGAGTCCTTGATTGATAAGAAAGGCTGGGGGAGCTGGGCTTGAAACCATGTTATCAGACTTAAAAGAGCATGCTCTGTCTTCTGTTCTTCCCATGTCCTAAAATATAAAGTCATCTTATGAGGCAGTTCAAGGTTCAGTTTTATCCCACATACAGTATTTGGTGACTCTAGGAAGCTAATGTTCCCACCAGCAAAAGCTAATATTCCACGGTAAGAGTGATCAGCACTGTCTTATATAACCCTTTTGTTGATGGGGTCAGTCTATAGCTTCTATGCTTCGAAGTGATGAACCTGAAGACTAGGGAAGCACAAGATGTGTCTTCTGCCTCAGGTACCAGGGATGGCGTATGCAGTGATCAAGCCAGGCCACTTGTAAAAGGTCTTTGCGCCATCTGCAGCTTTCAGGATCCCTGACTTGACTGAGTCAGATTTCTCTCTGAAGAATTACTGAGCTGCCCACATCATACAGAAAAGTGAGTACGTGCAATGCTAAACATACACAGTTGTGGAATGCACTGTACATGATTTTTTTTACATCGTTAATTTTACTGATCAATTTATAAACCCAAGACTTGTTTCCACGCAAAATTTCATGATCGACACGTGAAATGGTTTATGACAAACACACCTGTCTCT